TTGGTAGAAGATGACAGTACACAAACTGGTTGGAAAATCAACTACGAACCAAAATCTTCCGTGTCACACGAACAACCTACAATTATTAGGCTCGAAAGTACGGAGAAACTAAATGATTTATATTTTTATTTTATTTTTTTTATATAATTTTTTGCATTCTACATTTATTTAAATACTTGTTCATTTTCAAAAATAGATACACGACATAGTCTAGAACCTTATATGAAAAAACCGAGTGTTACCTAACATCAAAGAATAAGCACAAGAACTCCTAAGGCGCTACAGACAGGCAAGTACTAGAGCTTTCGTGTATTAAGAATAAGTGGCATGTAGGGATCTTTGGGATGCCTATCATTCAAGTCTTCGGGACGAGCCACAAAAAAACAGTGTTGGGGCGCAGGTGCCTTTGGGGTTGCCTGATGTTTAAAAATCTTTGGGATTACTAACACTGCTAGCCATAGATGCCTTCGGGGTTGTTTATGCCAAAATGTTATATAGCAAATGAAAAATACGATAGTTAAGGATACTACTAATTTTTACAAGCTTATTGTCTTAGGGTGGTCGTCCTGACAAATTAGGTGCAAAAGACTGGGAAAATACATGCAGATTCACATACATCGCCCAATTGTAAGTGGAGTGCTGAAATAAATAATGTAAATGGGGTCAGTACCGGTCAAAAGTAAGTTACCCGTCAAATTTTTCGAAATTGTATAATGAACCGCCCTACAAATTTTTTTAAATTAAAGAGTAACACAATGCATGATTAGTAATACTTTTATATTTTGATAGAACTTCTCGTGGGAAAATTAGATGAACAGTGACTTTCACTCTATCAACGATATGAAATCGTATTTCTTCATGAACATCCCCTAGGACCAAAGCTTGGTCTTGGTAAAACGGCCACTTATGTTGGCTGTAGTATGGCTGTAGTATGCCTGCTGTTATAAAATTACTTCGAAAATTTCACCAAAATAAAGATTTAACTCCGTATCACAACACTTGTTCAAGACAGAATAGATGATAGAAAGACAACCTTATGTAACTAGTGTTACAATAAAAAAAAAAACTTGAAAAATAAGGCATTAATATTAGCGAGAGCACTATTAAGTGCCGCCTTGTTGATGCTAGAGCAAGATTTATGAATGGAATAGTTAAACCACTCCTTGACGAAAAACACCAAAAATAGAAGTGGGATAAAGTAATTTTTACGGATGAGAGTATTTTAACCTATTTCAATCAAAAAAAAAACTTGGCAGTCAGCTGGAAAACGAAAAGTATGTCTGGGTTGTTTTTCAACCTCAGGGTTTGGCGATTTTATGTGTGAAATAAGATCAGATCCAAAACATCGTTCAAAAGTAGCGAAAAAATGGAACTTATAGCCAGCATATTTACCAGATCAAAATCATGTGGCGACTTCTAAAAATTAAAATACAAAAAAAAAAAAAAATTAGGTCAGTTCGAGTCAAATTTGGTTAAAAGTATGAATGATCGGGTTATATATGTATTAAATATTAGCGTTTACTCAATACTTTAAAATAAAAAAAAAATTTTTGCTGTTTATTTAAGTTTTGTATAATTGAGACCGGATAACTTACTTTTGACCGGACTGTAAAGAGAATAACAAAACAGAGGTAAAGATAAGCATGCTTTAACTATATATATTATTTTGCGTTTTAATATTAGGATAATGACAAAAGTTCAAAGCGGACGAATCGATTTTCAAATAGGTTATTGGAAATTTATTTAAGCGAGATTACAAAAAGTTAAATGAGGACCGAGAGTAAATACTTTAATTTTTCCATTTTTATTGTAATAATTTCTAAAAGAACTATTCGATTTATTGGATTACTTTGTATATAGTATGTAATAATTTGGCTTATTAATTTCTTATGTAATATTTATTAATCTCAATATGATTTCAATAATACAGAAAAAGAGTTCTTTTTTTATTTAATGCATTACGTGAATGGAATAGAATTTATTTCGTTGATCAGTATGGTAGATTCACAATTCCTGATTCACTGGGTGATATTTGACTTACTTATAATTAAACAAATTTATTGCTTATTTTTATATTGGTATTTATATTATTAAATCAAAGAATAGGAGAGTATTAAGTTGGGCATTCTATTTATTATGCTACAATATTCATTAATTGTTATATATCTTCACTTAAAGAGAAAAAAAGCTTGTAAAGATAGCCACTTTAACATACCGAACTTCACAAACAATATTGGGATATCGTTCTTGCTAATTGTCGAGGAGCAAACTTAATTATCAACATTTTAAAACAACTTCAACACCACTTTTATATAAAATATCAGCTTAATATATCGAAACTTTCAAATCATAAACGTATTTGCTTTTATTTTAATTGTTTAAAATTAAAACCAATTTGACGGCATTATTCCTATGTGAGAAATCAAATAAAGATGAGTCCCTAAACTCAAACCTTTTAAATTTAGACTATAGTATTATCTGGTTTTGAATATGATATTTTTTTACCTAAATTCTAAAAATAAAATCTCTAACCAATGCCGAAGTCCTAAACTAATATTGAAATCTCAAATTACAGCTGGTTTTATAAGTTCTGGGACACCCAAAAATTTACTCGTACTTTTCGGAAACTACGTCACTATCTTTGTATCGAGTTAGGTAATTCTTAGAACGAGATCGAAGAAGAGGTTTCGGAAACGAGAAAATTTTCAGATGTCCCAAAATTTATGTACTAACTCACATAATATGTATTGGCTCTAATCGGAAAATTTTGACAATGGTGCTCAATGGAGCCTAGGAGCTGTGAATGAAGCCATTGGAGCTCTGAATGGAGCCAATGGATGCTAGTTTTTGAGCTCCATTACAACTCTGGCCGGGACACCTTATCGTTACAGAAAATTAGCATCGATAAGTTATTGATTTCGGTGTGGTCGGTATATAAAAGCTATTTTTTAATTACATTATCCCAATTGATGTCTAGTCTTCTAATTGTAATAAGGCTATTTTAATATTCTAACCAAAATTCTATCTCTGGCTGTACACAAATATCAGACAGATTTTTCTTTCATTACAGCTGTTTTTCATAAATTCCGGGACAGCTAAAAAATTTTTTGATGACCGAATCGAAAAGTTACCGCCATTGACTGATATAAAAACATATCGATTCGGTCGTCGACAATTTTTCGTCATCTGTAAAATCTTTAAGATATATCATTCGAGTTTAGTAAGCGTGATTTTCCTAAAGTGATGGAGGTATTTCAATACATCTATATCTCGAAATTGACTTATAAAGATTTGTTAACATCTGTTTTTTTTTTCGAAATGATAATCCTTCTACAGTAAAAAAAAATTTTCAATTATTTGCTAGTGAATATGCTTTGAAATATCGTATTTACAGCTGTTTTCATAAATTCTGGAACAGTTGAAAAATCGCCGATGGCGAATCGATAAGTTTTTGATTTTGGACAACTTATTGATTTATAGCTGTACTTATAAATTCTGGGACAACCGAAAATTTTCAGATGACCGAATTGATAAGTTACCGAGTCTGAATCAACAAGTAACCGATTTCGGCCGAACTCAGAAACTTTTCGATTCGGTCATCTGAAATTTTTCAGTTGTCACAGAATTCATGAGGACAGCTGTAAACTCGGTAACTTATCGATTGGCAATCAAAAAATTTTTAAGCTGTCCCAAAATTTATGAAAACAGTTTACTTATTTGCGCCGGTAATACAAACCAAAAAAGGAAATCGCATTTGTAAATAAACCAAGAAAGTTTAGGATTAGGACGTTAGGGTTAGTGTTAGGGTTGTGATCTTTAGTGATGATTTGAGTTTTTTATATGTAAAATTTCAGGTCGAGTTTTTGAGTATTTTCTCTTTTTCGGTGTTTTTCTTCGCTTTGCTCACGTGTCGCGCTGACCCGGGATCATAACATTTTACGTTCTCCGATTGGCCATTTCTTTTGTAGAGGTTTGTATTACCCACCACTATAAACTCGATAGATATATACACAACCTATTTATAATGAATTCATAGTAAAAATAAAATTTATATATATATCTTATACCGAACTTATAATAGGTTTGAGAAAAAACTCTTTATGTGTGTTAATGAACGTAAGGACGTTACCCAGACATTGACCAGGTGCTAGTTTAGAATAACTGTTTATCAAAAAAGCAACTACTAATATTTTTGCATCCATTTTTTATATTTATAAACAAAAACAACTGAATTCTGAACGCTCTTTGGTCTTAATATGTTACGAAAACTAATTAATTTAGTTCGCTTGGCCTCATTTAAAATTTTATACTCATTTGTTTATATCTCTTACATAATAAAACTGTAGCAAAAGATAAAATTCCGACAAATATAATTCCTCTTATACTTACGCAATTTTCAATAAATGGAAAATTATTACGCAATCATTTGTTCAGTTGGAAGATCCCATTGACTTGGCAAGGTTTTTTGGCTCACTATTTCAAATTTATTTGGGCTTAAAGTAGTAATGTAAATATCGATATATAAATACGTTAAAATTTACAAAATATATATATTGTATATAATTACCAAATGGGGCGTCGTCAATCAAAACGTAGCTTAGTGAGATTGATCAATTTCCGAAAATTGTTACACACAGTGATAAAAAATTACGAGATTCTTATAATTTTCATCACTTTGTGTAACAATTTTCGGAAAATGATCAATCTCACTAAGCTACGTTTTGATTGACGACGCCCCAAATGTAATAATCATAAAATTCTCATATAAATGAAATGCAAGTGGTGATGGTGAATTTTTTTGTGGAATATTCGGAACGGACCACAACCAGGTGTTTGTATCTAACACTGCCAAATCAAAAGGTACCCAAACATATGTATTGTAAGTATTATTGCGAAGCGAATAACCCCCGTATATAATAATATTTTCATTTTGAGCTGGTCAAAAATAATACGTAACGGTAGATGTTAAATACTGTACGTGCGTATCTCGATATTAGTAATAAAAAATACTCGTGATCTTGGTATAGTGATCGGAATATTTTATAGATATTTAGTGGTGTCCATTGTGTATTAGAATCAATTGCATATGAGAATCATTTGCTATATTTAAGGTCGTTTTTGTAACTGAAGCAAACATGGCTCCACCGATTATAAAAGCAATGGAATTATTAATGAGGGTGACACATGAACCTAGAAAATTTGCTACTGGCATTTCAACAACTTTATGCCATGAAGGATACCATACTATGTCATTAAATAGATTGATCAATTTTTTTAAATAGGCTTGGATCGACTTTTTTGCTTGATCAGGCCTTTTTTTTTAAAAAAAGTTAAATTGATTTTATTTTCTATACTTGAATTTTTTATTTAAAAAAAACAACCGCTTTTACTTGGATCAATTATTATTATTTATTTATTCTAATTATATTAATCTAAATTTTCACTATATTATTGAGGAACCCAATAACGTGAAAATGACCAATATATTTAGGGATGTTAAGTGGTCCACGGGGAACTAGTTTGGACCAGGTCCAAACCCGGACTTTTAAGGGACTAGTAGGACTAGTTGAAAACTGGTCCTATAATCTTGTGATCTCAAGGTCGTTTAATTGGCTAATTTATGTCGATCTAAATGCAATCAATACAATCCATGTAATCACCACTAGAGTAGGACCGGTCTTTATCTATTTTTTGACAGGGGGGTGAACTCGTTTTCAACTAGTCCTGGACCAGACTTTTGGGGGACCGGACCGGACCGAACCAGACGCACCACTTAACATCCCTAAATATATTTAATGGTATGACAGAAGTTATATTTTATCTTGAACTATTGTTATTATACTGTATTACTATTATAATATCACTTCCTTAAATTTTTGAGGAAAAAATTTCTGTTAGCCATTGTAATATATATACATGTTGGTCTCAGACTGGGTCCCATGTAAGCATTCACGTTAAACAGCATTGTTATAAGGCTCTTAAATATAATACACGTATAGAATTGGTTTAAAGGCAACTAACTATCTTTATATGTACAATACAGTGTTTAGTATGGATACCCTAGGGTTGTTAAACCATAACTGATAACGTAATTTACATGTAAGTTACACTGTAACTTACTGTAACTTACCTGGCCTATATGTAAGTTACAAATAAGCTTTAAAGCTAGCTAAATCACATAATAATTTTTACCAGTATTAATATCAATTGTAATGGCTAAAAATTTGATATATGACGCAAACATATGTTGATCAACTTACATAACTTACTATTACAAGTAAGTTCTAACTACTCTGCACTCTAATAAAAAAATAAAAGACACATGAGATGATAAAGTTCTATAATGGTTCGAAAAGTAACATAAGAATAATCTCAATTAATTAAACCTTATCGCATATTGTAAAACTGGATGGTAGGGTCAATACTAGTATCTAATCTTAAACAAAAATTTCAGATGCTTCGAAATTGTTTTAAAGTAGTGATGTGATCCTACAGTTTAGTAGTTGAAACTATAGTTAACTGTAGTTAACTACATGAACTAGGATAACTGTAAAAACTTTAGTTATCTATTAAAACTATGGTAAGAAAAAAATATATATATGGTAAGCTATTAAAACTACACGAAGAATTTAAATAATGTGAATTGATATCATTCGATAATAATGTAATATGGAAGATTACCCATTTGAAAGTTTCAATTCAACGTCTTCATGATTTTTTTGACTAAGCTGTATGAACTATATGGATTGTCCCGCCTATTTTTACATATAATCAATTTTTGACAAATAGGAACATATATAAAAATTTTTTATTTTATGAATCTTTTTATTATATCGATATATATTCAAAAATCAAATAAAAAAAAAAGGGGGAAATTACACATCGGGGCCCAAATTTGAAAATAACTATGAATAAGGGCCCAAGTTAAAAATTATTATGTATAGGGGCCCAAAAAACAAAGATTATTATGAATAAGGGCGGATTTGCACTTGTAGCTTGGTCTCATTTCATGGCTCGGAGATTAGATGGGCTCTTATTCGTAATAATTTTTGTTTTTTGGGCCCCTATACATAATAATTTTTAACTTGGGCCCTTATTCATAATTATTTTCAAAATATGTAATTTCTCTAAAAAAAAATTTGAAAAATTGTCAAAATGGGCTCTTTTAATATGGTACGTACGGATACGATCCATATTATACAGATTTGAATAGTTCACATCACTAAGTATGAACTATACAAACTGTACAGTTTATATGGATTGCCGTCAAACTACATGTTAACTGTTCGGATTGCAGATCAATCTGTATTTGATTATGTGGTATATTACTATTTTAAAGACTTATAGTTAATTTTTCTTAGCATATGTAATAATAGCTTGTATAAAAAAAAAGCAGATAGAGTAAGGTTAAAAGCTATAAGTATAGTAGGGTTTATGTATTAAATTTACGTAGTATCTGAACAAAAGCAAGCACATTAAAATCTAACAATATATATACCAATTAACTGAATTAGTGTAAATAGGCTAAAAGTGCTTCACGATATTTAGAAATTCAGCTATAGTATTCTTCATGCACGTAAGTAAATGAACTAAATAATGAAAGTAAATAGAAAAATTTTAAACGTTAATGACTTAGAAACTTATTCGCTATAGATACTTTTTCCCCTCATATCTAATTACAGTTTAATGAAATAGAGAAAACCTATTTTTAAGTTCATCAAACGGGATACTTACAAACTGAATTTATGTGAAGAAATAAAGCATTGTTATAAATATTTAGGAACTACGCGTATTTAAAATAAGCCACTTATATTAGTCTTCATCACACTCAATACATAATACGTCTAGTACAATATTATGTTACCGTGTATATTATACTAAAAAGTATGATGTTAGTGGTCCACGATGAACTAGTTCGGTCTGGGACTGGACTTTTTAGAGACTAGTTCTATAATCTCGTGATCTCAAAAATTGTCCGATTTGCTAATTTACTGGACCGCAATCTACATAATTTTAATGCTCAGTTCTATACGTTAAACCTCTAGGCTTAGACCGGTTTCAAACTGGGATTATGAACTAGTTCCTAACTAGTTCATCCCTAATGATGACGGACTAAGGTAGCCAATCAGAACTATCCCATACCCCTTAGTTTCTAAAAATAGATTATCCGATTAGTTAATTTTCACACACTGATCGACAGGAAATTTTAATAAATAGATTGCGTTTTAATGTTATTTTTTTTTTACTTTTCCTATGAATGGTATCACAGAGGAACTTCCAAAGAGTTTTTTTTGAACATCGATGAAGAATTATTGTGAACACACCACCATAGTTTTCCTTCTGATGGAAAATGCAAGTTATCAGATGGAAATATTGATTTAGTAAGTAAGCGTCCGTTTACTGATGAGAGATGTCGAACGCTTGTTGACGTGTAAGTTACGCTGCAGGGAGTGAGACTAGGGGCGGCGGTGTTATTTTTAGTAAATTTTCTCGTTAAAAAACTCTTGGTAGTCGCCCCATGTAGACGTTAAACATGATGTGTGGTTGATGCGTGGGTTGAGTGAGATTTAAGGGGCGATAGTGTTCTTGGTGTAAATTCCTTCGTTAAGAAACTCTTGATAATCGCCCACCGTATTTATCGCTCGTAATGAAATATCTTTTATTCATTGTTTTATTTTTTACTTAGGCAGATATAGAGTTCTATTTTCTTATTTAAGCAAAATGGAAGGTTGAAAGTTCGTTTATTTGTATTGATGAGGTTCGAGCGATGATTCAGTATATATCTAGCTTCAAGTAATTTGTCAAATATTACGTTACATCATTTACCTAAATATACGACAGCAAATTTACAACCTCTTGATGCCAGAATAATCCATTCCTTAAAGGTATTTATATTTAAATTTCAAAATACCGTACCGTTCCAAAATTAAACACCCTTTTTTGTTATAAGGAGAGCTTATTTTTTTTTATTTTTTTTTTTAACTTTGGCGTATCTTGCCAGGTATTTATTTTAGTAATTAATTCATGTGTACAGATAATACTAGCTAACTAATATAAATGGTAAGTAATAAACTCTAAGCCTGTTGGCAAATAGCATATGAGAACTATTTCTAAATGACAGGTGCCTGTACCATAGAACTAATGATTACTGAAACACCTGACCCCACCCGGTTGCTTTACTAAGCCCTAGATGTGATAGCCGCACCACTTAATCGTGGAGATGCACCAAACCTCAACATTGAAGCCAGTGACTAACTTTCCATGTATTCACCCAGGCTTCAGTAACCTACCACCATAGCTTAACCCATGCATTTGGGTCAGGGCTAACCATTAAACCTCTGCAACTAACTAATACCAGTACTAATCTAGTATATATATTGCTATATATCCCGGGTCTTTCCCCCCCGCGGTGTTGCAGTTCCCAGATCTACACCTTCCTAATTAGTTGTCTATTATCTACTACTTGCCCTTATTAGGTTCACGGCAAACCCTGGTACCCGCATTCGAACTGTTTTCTTACCCGGATTCTTTATTGGTCTCTCTCTTACTTCCAGCCGGCAACCCAGAAGGGTCGGTCTGCCCAGGCTTTAGGTTCCTGAAGGACGCCCTCCCCTTGGTCCATACTTTCGGAGTATATGTTCTTTTCCTCCGATGCGACAACCCGGCGGTTCGGCTGGTATGTCCTCCGCCATTAGGACCTGATCGTTCAGTTCTCCGATCTCGGGCCCCGGTTCGAATTCAGCCTTCTTGTGATACCATTGAAGATCACTGCTACTTCCTAACTCGGGACTTCCCAAATGGGTTTTCAGTTAAGCCGGTTTCTCAGCTTTATTGCGCCATTGCTCCCATTACTAGATGGTGTGACCGAGGTTACAGATTTATCTAAGATCCAACCAAATCATAACCGTCAACCATAACGCAAGCCTATTTTTCAAAATTCGTCGTCCGTGGGATTCGAACTCTAGACCTGCCACTTGGAGAGAGTGATAACTAGACCACTACACTAAGTCGCCACACCTCCTTTTCTTTTTGTTAGTCTTTGCATTTGCCCATATGCTTCTATAAGAATTCTTCTCTTTGATTGCGAAGTGGCCTTCTTTACTACTAATATTCATTTCACTGATTTCTAAAATGTCTATATTTTTCTCTTTTGCATAATCTATAATTGCCATTGACTTGTTCTTATTGTCCTTTAACTCATTAATATTGTAGAACCCTATATTTATAACCCCAAAATAATCATATGTGTTTTTCCCTCTTTCTTTAGGCTCTAGGAGTTTCTTTTCGAGATCATTCTCTCTCCACTTCTTTTCTTTTCCTTTTTGTAACCCTGGGAGTTGGTTTTTATCTTCTGAAGTATTCTCTATTAACTCCCTTTCTTTTTTTCCAGACACCTCGGCTTTATATATAGATTCGCCCATGGTGCCCTTAGGAGCGATCCGCAGGAGTAGCCCCTGTAGCTCCAGTGTAAGGTCTTGAATTTTGGGTTTCAAGCCTTTCTAGCCTGCTTAGAATTTGTTCTAGTGCAGTGAATATTGGGCCTTCTCTTTCTTTCCCTTTTGTACTTTTACCCAGCTGCTTTTTTTCCTCTTGATGATCATATAAGTAAGAGTTCTCCTTGTTTTGGTTTCTTGTCATCAAACGTTATCTAGTTATGTTAAACTTTGCCTTCATACCACTTTTGTTTTGTAATAACACACCCTTATTTTGGTCTTTTTCTCTTCTTTTTCTACTCTTGAGGTTATTTTTCTTTCTTCTTTTTCAGATTCTTCAGTCTTTGGGTCTACAACGTTTTCCTCCTAAGCCAGTTTGTACCATTTTCTGTCTTGCAGTCGACCTGACTCTTCATATTGCTGTTTCTTTAAATTGCCTTTCTTAAAGTGTTTTTGTAATGACGTTTGCCATTCCAGCTTTCTATCATAGTAGAATATGGTTGATCTAAGAGCCCAAATCATGTCCTCTTCTCACTTAAAATAAACAAAGGCCCTTTCACTTTGATGATCATTACTATTATTTATCGTATATACTGCTTGTACCTTGTATCTTTTTAATTGATGTAGCAGCAAGCTATCTAAGGCTGTTCTAGGTATCTTGTTAATAGTATATCTGAACCTATCTCTTTCGTCTAGCATAGCTTTGTCAAACTTTTCTGAGGTTATTCTGTGTATTTTTCTTTGCTCCAATTGTACTAACCATTGTCCGTTTAATAGGTAGGTTCCTTTTTTTGTATTGGATGCTATGCTTAGGGAGCTGACAGAAATCAGCTGATTTTTTGGTAGGTGGGTGGGTCAGCCAAAGTGTCAGGTGTAATTCTGGCCGGAATTATCAAATTCCAGCCAAAATTATAATATAAATTTATATATATATTAAATATTGAATAACTTTTGATCTACTGAACCAATTTTGATGATTTAACTACCAAAATGATCCTCTAATGACCTGATTCTAACAAGCTTAAAATTATCAAAATCCAATCACTAGATCCTGAGATTGATATAAATTTATATACTATATACTATATAATACTATATATAGTAATATATAGTATATAGTATACAAATCTCAGGATATAGTAATTGGATTTTGATGATTTTAGGCTGTTAGAATCAGGTCATTGAGAGGATCATTTTGGTAGTTAAATCATCAAGATTGGTTCAGTAGATCAAAAGTTATATGATATTGAAATTTTTTATTAATTAATATATAATTTTTTTGTGCAATTTGATTGGCTAATAAGGTATCAGGTGTGGGTGGGTGGAGGTAGCCTCTTAAGAGATAGAAATCACCTGATTTACATCAGGCCCCTAATCCTCTCTTAGCTTTTTCGTCAGCATGCAGAAAATCACTTCTAATAAAGTTAAAGATTAGCGGTGGATGTCCCATTTATTAAATATGCTCTTGCTTGTGATTAGCCACATTTCTTTTTAGACTAAAGCAGAAAAGATTTTTATCAAAAAATCTTATATTTCTTAAGCTTAAGCTTATATATGCTATATGCGCTATATGCATAATATGCGCTGTATTTGCTAGATATGAGCTAGATATGAGCATGCCCCAAAAAATTTTTATCGTACTCAGGTTGTATTTATAATTTTTGAAACATCACATGTATACTTGTGATATTGGTTTTACGCAAGAAAATTTAGTCTATATTATATTTATTTAAGCACAAATAATTT